GCTAACAGACTCTGGCCCACTGGCTTAGGTTAGCTCGATGGAACCTTATAAATCAGTCGAAAAGCTTGGCGCGAAATAAGTCGCACTGACCTTGCTGCAAATGCCTCTAACACCGGCATCAGCACGAGTCCAAAATTTGTGCATGATTAGGGGACAGCAACCAACAAGACCTGGTATACAGCTGGGCGGGAATGAATGGGGTTAATACTTCGCGAGTTCCCTTTGGCATAACTGAGGGGAAGAAGGAGGTATCACTGCTGTACTATGATAGCGGTGGTCTTAGTGAAGCTTGTTCAATAAACTAACGTCGGAGTGGGCTGAGTGTTCGTATTTGCAGAGGCCCACGTGTCGGCTTCAAGTGTCGTATGCTGTTGCATCTGTAATCGAGGAATGTTACGGACAGTTGGTACAGACCGATAAGAACCACTACACTACGTTTGTTTCAATTTCGCCGTTCGAGAGAAATACGCTGTACTTTGAGAGTAACATGTCAATGCTTTCAGCGAAAATATTTTCCATTTACCGTGGTATGGAATACAAGTAGATAAACGACGAAAAAATAAATGAGTTTGCTTAGTACCGTGCGACTATAATCGGGGAAACTTGCGTCTCAGTTTCCAAATTTCGGTCTCCTTACACGCCACAAAAGGCAATATGCGGAACGTAAGGCGAGATATTGTGGCTCAGAGGCAGTAAAGAAAAGTTCTTACCTTTAGGCATATCGTCCTCGGCGGTTAGATCGGCAGACGGTCCAGGTCGATCTCGAAGGAGGGCATTGATAGTCATTGTAGGGAAGAACACCGTCAGCCGTCAGCGAGTCTTAACTGCAATTCTTCCCCCGTAGTGTACCTCACAAAGTCTACGGCGCAGTGATTCTTTTCTTAAGTATACCGGCTAATTATTTGATGCGACGCTGTCCGTAAGTCCCTTGGAGGGGTCATGAGGGTAACAGCAGTTTCAGACTTATTTCGTCGAGGTTGGACGGGCATGCGCTGGTGAAGTATTAGTTGGGAGACCCACTTACGTTCTGACGTGAATCGAAAGCGCAACATCCGAAGCACTCACGGTTACCATCCTAAGACCTTGTGTTCTGGCACACTATGTTATATGAAAGTAGTTGTTACTACTGGCAGACAAATGGTGAATACTCACCTACCATTACGCTGTACACTGTCAGCAGGCAGTAGCTCCACTCTCAAATCTCTCCAATAAAATGTCTAGAGTCGTTTTTGTGACGGCTATGCAACGGAACAACCCGATTTGATTGAATTCCAACATACAGCAAACTATATGCACAAGTCAGAAGAAGGAGGTGCAATCGCCGGAACAGGACGTTTGTTCGCTTGATGTTTCGGATTCCCACTGGAAGTCATAGTGGAGACAGTCTAAAATAAGGATAATTAATGCATAGGGATGCAGTTTTTATAGGACACAGTCGGCATGCCACCATATACCTACCATAACTGCCAACACCTTCATTCATAATCGACGATCGTACTTGGTGCGATGATGGCTGGCTAGCCCGAAACTGAGGCATTAACTGGTGCAATTTACTTCCAATTGCCAGTTATTGGTGCGTTAAAAACTCGAAAATTTGGCTCGCCGGTATTCACCCGTGCGCTCCCCGAGTGGCCAAGTGCTCTGATACGACAAAGTTTTAATGCCTAGTATGAGGGAGGCAGAAGGTCATTGATTTTGCTACTTGACTGAGGGCGCGCCAACCATGACGCAAGCAGTCGTCTTCCAACTCGATTTGTCATCTCGTACGATTACTTCGGCCTCCTCAAACTTGAAGACGTGGTGGGGTCCCGTCAAATGAGCCGCGACTTGAGGACTGGCGTCATTCCTTCTCACTGCTGCCGCGTGCTCGGCCACCCATGCAGGACGTAATCTCCCAGTTTCTCGGACAGAGCTGCTGTGTACGGAAGTGTGTCAATCCCAGAAGACGGTTCTAGGCGTTTCTGTTCATGGCAGTAGATCTTTCGGCCTCATTACTTGGCTCCGCATACTTACACGTGGTCTGTGTGCAACTCTAACCCTGTGACGAGAGAAGGCGGCTGACGGCATCCGTGACGTTCTTGGTGTACGGGCGTGCAGCCTGGTCTCTCGTCTTGTTTGTGCATGCACCGGCTGATGAATTTGGGCGGATAGCCATTCGCTTTGAGTACCTGTCGAAAGTATTGCAATTCAGCAACATCGTCTTCTGGCCCATTGTAGTGTGTTCAGCACGCAAATATAGCGTCCTTACGCAATTGCGCTTGTGGCAGATCGGGTGGTTGTTGCTGAAGTTCAGAACTTGCGTCGTTACTGTCGCCTTCCCGATGGCTTTAGACTTTAGGCCATCACCATCTTTGTGGCAGAGGAGGGCGTCAAGTAAAACCATCTGGCTATTCCCCCCTCCTCCTCCAATCACACATTTATGGCCTGGACGATGACGTCGAGACATCTCTTGAATGCCAACACCTGACCCCGTTCGATGATGGCGTCCATCCACATAGAGAGCACAGGATTTCGGTCCGTGGTGTCGATAGACCGACGAATAAAACTGTTGCAGAACCGCTTCGGCTATGAGTCCTGGAATCAATGGACCCAGTTGCATGCCTTTTACCGATTCTTAGATTGTTCTGTCGAGCGTGTAGTTCGTTTAGAGACAGAACTTCAGGGGTTGGATGATTTTGGCGTGTCAAAGGCGAGCCTGTGCTCGATCTTATTTTTTTGCAGGAGCAAATCGAGGGCTTTGGCTGACCGATCCCGGAAAATGAAAAAAGAGGGAAAGGACATCAGAAGATACCATGACGTCATATCGCAGAAGACTTAACTCTTTAATTTCCTCCAAGAATTGTGTTGACGAGTTGGCACTGATGCCGAAAAAGACACTTTGCCAGTCCGCAAGTCGGAGTGTCCTTGAGTTATAAGATGGACTAGAGAGGAATGATTTTGAAAGAACATATTGTCGGACGAAGACCGCCATGCGTTGGCCGACTGACCATATTGCACCTGAGTTCTCAGTTGCCAACAGCGTTATACTGGACTTGCGTGCCGCAATCTTTACGAGGTTTGTTTTACCTGACACAGGACTGGCGACCCCCCATCACAATTTTGGCATACCAAATGTTGTCTGTCCCATCCATTAGACAGCGGAACGCCGCTTACTCGCGGACACGATAATGAGGTCTTTGTCAGCCTCGAGTTCACTTATTAAATCGCGTTCGACCTTGAAAAGATATTTCACGCGGCCTATGAGACATAAGAAGGGACGACACTTGGAGTTGAATAAGGTCCTTCGTCACCTCCGTCGCTTCCGTTTGTTTCAAGACCAACTTCGCTGGTGCTACAACGCTGACCTGCTTGACACAGTTTGCGTTAAATGAGGTTTCATGTTGTGTTACGTGCACATCTTTCCCATCAGTTCCTTTGACTACATTCTGTGTACCATCTTGCGGAACTTGTTCGCCAGAGCTGCGTCGCGCATCACTCGGGCTTGCTCAGTCACCCTCTACTGATGGCGTTTTCTACCCGAAGGTGCTCGCTCAGGCACGCGTGACGATGTCGGAAGAACACTCACATAAATCCTTTGCTGTGTTAAGACACTGCTCATCTCGCCAGCAGGGTGTTTACTGGTGGGTTTGTCCAAAATGCCTTTCGACAACAAGCTACTGCCGGGGAAACTTATGTAGAGACCCAGTCTGCTCAGCGGTGGAGGGTTCTCGTATCGCTGGGCGCGTCGCGCCCAAACCGTTTGCCGATGAGAGTGAGAAGCATCGGCTACGACCACCGGCGATGAAGACGGGAACCGTTAATTTTAATACGTAAGTGACCTATCTCAGGAGGTGTCAAAAGAAATTCTGAAGAGCATTTTCAATTAGAAAGGGCTACTTAAGTGGGCTTGTAATACTGACAATCGTGCAGCATAATCCCAAGATATTTCAGTCACGCCGAGGGGCCGGCTCTAATGGTGCGTTTCTTTCCGTTCACCTGTACAAAATACACTTTCATATTCCTCCATGCCATTAAGAAGACGCTGTATAGGGATCATAATATCTCGCGATGGATGTGAACTATGGCATGTACATACGTCCTAAGCAACATTAGTAAACGGTCAACTACTATGCTATTTGGATGGACATTTCACAGCCTTTCTTCGAGTGTACACTTTAAAGAAGACGTGTTTTTTTCAAATGAGTACGCGAAATGACGCTCTGCACATGTTTTTCGCGAAAAATATTTGAATTTACGTGTATCAAAAATCTATGAAAAATCCTCCTGTCTAATTGATCCCTTTTCCAGGTGTAGTTCGTTCTGATGATGGGAAAAAAGGGCATTGAAAAGTTAACGTCCTGGTGGGGCTAAAATATTTCAGGATCATGCTAAACGATAGTCAATATCACAAGCACACCTAAGCAACTCTTTCTAATCATAAGCAAATCTCAGAATTTCTGTTAACACTCGTGAGATAGGTCACTTACTGTGCGTATTAAAAGTAGCGGCTGACGTGGTTGCATGGAAATGAGGACATTCTTTCTGAAGATTGCGGAATAGTTCGTTTAAAGTAAGGCGTAGTTTCTTCTATCTCTCTGGAGCACATGCAACTGCATCCTACAAATACAACCACTTTAGCGCGCTCACTGGCCTTATGTACTGACGTCTCTGATGAATGATAAAAAACCTTGTTCCAGTGATCGCTTCTGCCTTTTCCCGTCTCCCCACAAGAGTTCGCTTCTTGTTTATACCGGGTTTGGTTTCACTGTCATCTTAATAAGGCGATTTTCGTAGGTGTCTAGAGGAATGCTGAACGAAAAAACAAAAATCTACCCTATACGCGCTGCCTTCGGGTTAGATCGCTTGCTAATTCATTTTACAGCTGAAATTGTTACTCAGTAATGACCGAGATTTAGAATGTTATTCAGTGTTTGAGTCTGTCCAGCAACGTCTCAGAGCTTCTCAGCCTGTCCACAATCATACTCTATGAAACATTACGGATAAAGGCAAGGGAGACTGTGATGGCCATTTCTGGTTTCATACCCATCAGCAGCAGCATCAGCATCAGCATCATCATCATCATCATCATCATCATCATCATCATCATCATCATCATCATCATCATCATCATCATCATCATCATCATCATCATCATCATCATCATCATCATCATCATCATCATCATCATCATCATCATCATCATCATCATCATCATCACCATCATCATCATCACCACCACCACCACCACCATCATCATCATCATCATCATCATCATCATCAGCAGCAGCAGCAGCAGCAGCAGCAGAAGCAGCAGCAGCAGCAACATCATCATCATTATCATCCAACCATAGTTAACCACAGGTTTGCTGCTGCGCAACTGCCTGCGAGGCTCTAGATTGGGTCGCATGACACGACGGGACGAGTGTGTCCCGTAACGCCATCGGTTAGCGCCCCTCGGCCACATTATTTATGAAAAGTTTGCTCGACACGGGAATATGAACCCCTCATATTACAGGTGGTCTCGCCCTAAATTCTAGGCGGGTTTAAATTTAGGGTTTTGCTTACGAGGGCAGTGTTAAGGTCAGGATTCGGGCTAAAGTTTGGACACAGGAATAGGAACCCTCAGGCAATTAGTGCGATATCACCTCTGGTACTGAGAGGTTCATATTTCCACATCCAGCCGTTTGAAAAACGGGTGATACTGAAGGCTCAGTCCACTCGTCAAGTTAAAGTATTGCCCTTAGGAAAAAAGGAAGCCAAGTCTGATATCAGATAGCTAGGGTTTGAAAAGGAAAAACATATTGTGCTGAACGGGTCGAAACCCACGGTCTCCTGTTTAATAGACAAACAGTACGTTGAGTTTCGCTTGCATCCGGTATAGTCGTTTTCCCACCTAAATGATGTTTGCAGTCAGTTTCGCTTGACGGTGAGACAGGCGGCCTGTACACTGCGCTCAGTTGCGGTCGGCTGGTTAGCCTTTTACTAGGTAGGAAGCAATAAACCCACTTCCACTTAGGGATTGGTGGTATCGCCAAGGCGAGGGTGCCAGTCTGCAGGAAAGAACAGTGCACGTAACTGCAAACCCTCGACCCCACTGGCCTCGGTATTCTGCTAATTGTGGTAATGATTTTGAATTGCATCGCACCAACACTGCACCCCATTGCTGCGCTCGAACGTACTTGCGGGTACTAGGAATTGACACTCGTTACAGACGGGCACAGTAGATGTGATATCTCATGAAATGGTGACTGAAATTCTGGAATACGTTTTTGATTGGAAAATATTACGTGAGTAGGCTTCTAATGTAAATATCATGCAGCATAGTCCTAAGATACTTCAGCCACGGCAGGACGACAGCCTTTGAACGAACCCCATGTCGACTGTCCGTAAAAACTATACTCTGTAAAAAGGGTTATTTGAAAAGTATGGACTTTTCGGTCGGATCTTATCTCGTAGCCGTACCTGCGGTAGACAAGCCCCAGCCTAACCCCTAAAACCAACCTCTAACCTTGATCCCAAACCCAAATTCCCTAACCCCAAATCACTAGCCCAAACTTCTAATGCTTACCCCCTAACATAACCCCTAACCCAAACCCCTAACCCTAACCAGTAACCCCAATCACTAACCGAAACCCAGAATGCCTAACCCCTAACCATGATCCCTAACCCAAACCCCTAACCTTAACCCCTAACCCAAACCCATAACCATGAACCCTAACCGGAACACGTAACCCTAGTCCCTAACCCATAACCTTAACCCAAACCCCTAACCCCAGCCGCTAACCCAAGCCCCTAATCCCTCACCATAACCCCTAACCAAAACCCGTAACCCTAATCCCTAACCTTAACTCATAACCCTAAACCCAACCCCAAAGCCTAATCCCTAACTCCAAACCCTAACCCAAACCCCTAGCATCAACCCCTAATCCCAACCCCTAGCCCAAACCCCTTATTCTTAACCCCTACCACCTACCCCCAACCTTAACCCAAATACCTAACCCTAGCCCCTGACCCTAACCTTAGCCCCTAACTCCAACCCCTAGCATAAAACCTTAAACCAAACCCTAGTCCCTAATCCCTAACCTTGACCCCTTACCCAAACCCGTAACCTTAATCCCTAACCCTTAACTTTAACCCCAAACCCTAACCCCAGCCCCTAACCCAAAGCCCTAACCTTAACCTCTAAACCCTGCCCCTAACCCCTAAACTTAACCCCTTATCCCAACCCCAAACCCCTACCCATAACCCGTAACAGGAATGGCTACGAAGTAAGATCTTGCCGACTTTTCTTTTTGATTTCAAATGTCCTTAAAGGTTCAATTACTTTTTATAAAAAAATATATACACAAAATATTCATTCTTTTACTCATTCGGTGGCAAATCACGTCTTTAAATTTTACACTCAAGGAAAGGACATCCTCTCGGTTTTGGAAAGTTTGCCATTACGCGATTGCTTAAAGCCGTGAAATGTTCATTGATACGGCATCTTATCTGCATGCAATCTGGTCCATATCCACTGCATAATTTTATGAATCCTACATGACGTTTTCCCAACAGCGTAGAGAAATATGGTATACTCATTTGATAGAGTGTATAGAGCATTTTGTCAAAAACCCTCAATGCACGTGTGACGGCGCATGGGGTAAAAATGTTCAGGAATATAAGAAATTTTCGGAAGCTGAAATACAGTCTCTATTAAAGTAGACAATTTTAAGAAGGCTACTTTACCGTCAAATGAGTACAAGGGGGAATATTTTTTGTGCAGATCTTCTATAAAATATAATTTAATTGCTTAGGGCATCGAAAATCAGTGGGAAAAATTCAGACTACGCAAGTAGTCACTTTCAGCGGAGTGTGACCTTAACAAACGGCGGCAAATTAAGCTTATTCAAAAGCCAGCATCCTGCCATGGCTAAAGTAACTTAGGATTATTCTACATGATAATGTACATCAAAAGCCTACTTAAGCAATCTTTCCGAATCGAAAACATACTTCAGACTTTTGGATAACATTTCATGAGATAGCACATCTACTGTAGATGGATGTCATCTTTTCATTGCTATGACATAATTAAGCCACTGATAGTCCCGAAAGTAGAAGCCTAAAACTTGCTCCTAGACAGTCAGGAGCACCGGAATAATTTTTTTCCAGCAGTCGTTTTTACTGTTTCAACTTTCAGTTCTCTGCCGGAATTACTAGGTTTTGATGGATTATTTCTGAACCACGCGAAGACAAATGCCTAATAAAGAACGACTTTCATTGTGATATTTCTAGAGTCCGACGGAAATAAACAGATATCTGTTGGCAACCGCAGAACAGCAGTCTACATCTTTCAGTTCTGTGGACCTCAGTCCAAGAACCATCGACCTCGGCAAGAAACCTCGTCGTCGAAGGTACTAAAGTTTTGCTTTATTTTGCCGAGAGCCGTTTTCCTTTTCAACCTTCAGCGTATGGGCAGGAAACCTTTTCGTACTGTCCTTGGCACTTTTCTTTTTACCTGGCACTAATACCAGCAAAGACTCTAAAGACGTATTCATCCTGGTTAATTTGATATTTCATCTTTTTGTCTACAGTGATGGCTCCGAGACACTACACAAATCCCAAAAAGTCATCGACAGAATGTCAACCTGCTCTGAAGCATCTCCTGATCTGTCGTCGCAGTCCAAGTACTTACATTTCTTCGCACGACCAGCCCATTTTGATGAGTCCTTGTCTGAAAGATCTTCACTCTCGGTCACAGAATCCACAGGAAAGTTAAGTGCTAGAGAAGAACAGATGGCCTCCCTGATGACTGTCAGGCCTGCCTTCTCCGTAGATCAGGACTTTTTGGCAGAGCAATGGGAGCTGTCCCCTCTAAACCATCAACGTGGTCTCGCCCTAAGGAGGCATTCCCATCAAGGCTACAAAATCAGTCAGATGTTCAAGGCCCACGAAACCACCAAATCCATCACTCACCTTGTACACCTGAGCATAGCATCTGCAAGTCATGATCAGGACGACAGCTCCGACAGCGACAGCAGCGAAAGTGATCGCTCTATTTCGGAGTTAGGAGACAATTTGTTACAACTCTCACCCCTCGACGAGAGTCGGCATGACAAACAGAGGACCCTGCATCCGGCTGCACATTTAAAGCTAAACCTTCCAGAGGTTAAGGCGCCACCCAGCATTTATAGCTCTGAACAACGCCCCCTCATGAGAGAAATAGATACGCCGATGGGCGAACAGATACAGTGGATGCATTTCAAGGGTCACCATCGTGCGAGACAGGACAGAAAGGCTGCTGTAAATGACATGTCTCGGATAGAAGCATTAGAGAGATGCAAACTGCCACCCATTGCGCGAGACATGTGTAAATCGGGCCAGGAGATGTCCGTGTCCTCTTGGTTGTCTCCTGAGTGGTTAGACGGCAGTGGCCGCAGTAGCGGTGAGGTCGCCGGTGGCGGCGGCATCGGCGTCGAGAGCAGCCGCATCGAATCGACAGTCTCCACGGTGGCTGGCAGCACAAGTACCACAGACAGCCAAGTGCTGCATCAACTAATTACCGATTTCAGGGATGCTGTGGCCGACCTACCCTTTACCAACTTTCTGCGCACCTCGATTGCCGGGTTACGAGCGGAAGAACCGCAGATTTGGATGCACGTCTTCCGCAATCTCCACTCAAACCTGGGAAGAGAGCTACTAACCGCAATGATTGCAGATTTGAAACGGCCAGAACCAAAGATAAAAACGCTTCAAAGGTTACAAAAAGCGGTCATCAGTTGCATTAGAGCTACCAAGTAGGTTTAGTCTGCAGATGGAATTTCCCTTGGCAGTCCTCCATCTACCACCTGCACTACGAAGAACAGTAGTAACAATACTACTCAATGCACAGCTTCCACTATAACTACTACTACTACTACTACTACTACTACTACTACTACTACTACTACTACTACTACTACTACTATTACTAGTGATAGTTCGACCGTCGTTGCCGACGATGTCCACCGTGCGCTCCACAGCAAGGTGAAGCAGACACGGTGACTGGCGCGTGATTTAGTTTATAGTGAATGTAGACCTGCGCTGCATCTACCGCACTCTCTCCTCCTTCTCACCTGGACCCGGTGTCAGGACGTGGCTAAGAAGACCAGAGGTAGGGGAGGACGCAGGTGGATGGCACGGTCGAGCCCCTACCATGGCGTGCCACCACACCCTCTGGTTCACACACCAAATGACCAGAATTTTAACCAACAACAGGAGGGGCAGGAACGGCCAAGGCCGCACCTAGGTGTGTCGCCCACACCAGGCTCGGATCCCACGGACTGGAGATGCCATAAAGGCCACATTAAGACTGAGCCATTGCAGCCTGACTCTTAGACCACCAGTCGGCCGCTCCATACAAACACACAACGCTAGGCCGACTGCGGAGTCCAAGTTATCCCCTCAGTTGGCAATCTTCCAAGCCACGGCTTTCAGTGCACCTTGATAGCTTCAAGCGCGTCAGATTGTTTATGATGAGGAAAATGCACTGAGTCGTCGATCTCAGGCTCCAGTCACTGTCCAAACCGGCCAGTAGACATGTGCGGGGAATGGGCGCGGTGGCTGACATGGTCTAATGACCATGTCTGCGCGCGCCATATGCACGACCTGCCCCCAAAACACAAGCACCAGGATTTCACGCATCGGGAGTTGAGCGGCGTACCTCTCACATGCGTGAGAGTGCCGTGGTCACGTTCGGAAGGAGATGTTTCGGCCCGACTCTCAGTCCAAAAGCCCGCTGCTCCACACACACACAACTGGACTGAGTTGGGCGTCAATCAGCAGCCTTCCAAGCCAGTGTGCTTTACGCACCGTGATAGCCTCCGAATCGAATCACACATGCAGCAAAGAAGCAGCATGGAGACGAAGCCGAGACGCACACTTCCCACATGCGTGGGGGGGGGCAGTTGGATGCTTGTATTCGATGATGTTGCTGGATAAGCACGGTGGATGTGCAGGAGGTGCTAGGTGAGTCGAGATTGCGGTCAATTCCGCTCTCGTGGATACGCATGTGACCGGATAGACACCGTGCGGTGTGCAAATGTGCTAGGGCAGTGTGGACAGTGGAGGCAGATGCGACGGGTGTAGGTTAGAGTTCCAGGCACCGGTTCGCCAGTCTCTGGGCGATGGATTCGTAAGTGACTGAGCGATGTGTGAGGTGAAGGTGTGGCCGCGATTAGGACAGGTCTGGATCGAGTTCAAATCGCTGGAGTTGTTGGTGGGGAGATTGATGTTTTTCGGTGTGTCAGGATCGTGTGCAGTGGTGGAGTGTGCAGGAGCCGTCGTAGCGGATGTTGAAGCAATGGAGGATTATGGTCGTGGGGGTTCGGCAGTGCAGTCAGCGTTAGTTGTCGACTTGGAGGATGAGGTAGAGCTGGATGAGCAGACAGCAGCTGGTGTAGTCCGAGCGCTGCAGTTGGTACGAAGATGACCTACAAGGCCGATTGGTGTCCTGAACGTCCGCTGGCAGCGTGGGCAGGTGGGGGGCGGTTGAGCGTTGGCGTTGTGAAGTGAGCGCAGTTGAGATTTGCGAGCCCCGCGTTTGGCTTTGCGGCGGTTATGCAGTTGGCTTCGTAGGTCGCTGTGCCTGTCCTCACTGTTCTCCTTAACTTCGGTCGGTCTCGGGTGAGTTGAGCTGCAGACGCTTCAGGGGAGTTTTCAGTGTCCTTGTAGCGACGGACTTGGCTCCTTGCCGGCGGGAACCCGTGACGACATCTCCGCAAAAGAGTTTTTGGGTAGCCGCTCTTCATTTATCCACACAAGGTGACCGTTGCAACGCATGGCGTAGATGTTAAGGATTCCCATTCGCCTCAGTACATCCGTGTTCGGGATCTGGTCCTGCCATCTCAACTTCAGTATCCGTCGAAGACAGCTGAGGTGGACGTGCTTGAGTCTCCGTGCCTGGTTTTTGTACACCGTCCAGGTCTCCGCCCCATACAGTAGCATCGGCAGGAAAACGGCCTTGTATATCTTCAGTTTGGTGTTGAGGTGGAGAGAGTTGTGATTCCAGACTGTGCTTTGCAGACGGCCGAAGGTTTGGCTGGCTTTGGAGATCCGGCGAGTCACTTCATCGCCGATCTCGGTGGTGCGGAACGGAGTGCTGTCTAGGTAGGTGAAGTTTTACACGAATTACAGTTGGGCGCCGTTCACGTTGATTTGAAGCGCGACGTTGACAGCTTCGGGTGGCGGTTGATGCATAATCACCGTCTTCTTTGTGTTAATGACCAGGCCGACGTCGTCCGAGGTGGCGACGAAGAGTTCCATGGTCATTTGTATGTCCCCTTCAGTAGTTTCGTTGAGAGCGCAGCCATCGGCGAACAGAAGTTCATGGACGGTCGTCGTGGATACACGCGACTGGAAGTGCATGCGCCGATGGTTGTAGAGTTGGCCGCCCATCCTCTAGGCAATGTTGATCCCAGGGCGTTCGTCACGGTAAGCGTTCATCAGCATGGCAAAGAACATGAGACTGAGGAGAGTAGGCGCGAGGACGCAGCCCTGCTTAACTCCGTTGGTCAATGCGAACGCATCTGAGGCAGCTCAATTATCCATGACTCACGCCATCATGTCGTCGTGCAGCTGACGCACCATCTGAGTGAATCGCTCGGGACAGCCGAATTTCTGCATGATTTTCCCCAGCCCTTCACGACTTACCGTATCGGAGGCTTTCGTCAGATCCATGAAAGTAGAGTAGAGATGAGTCCGCATCTGCTGAGCCTTTTACAGTTGACAGATTGCGAAGATCATGTTCGTGGTCCCGCGATGACGGCAAAGGCCACCCTGTCTTTCCAGGAGGAGACCTTGTTACAGATGATGATTCAGGGGGTTGAGAAGCATGCGAGCGAAGATCTTCCCAAGGATATTTAGCAAAGAGATGCCTCGGTGGCTGTCGCAGAACTGGCGATTACCTTTCCGCTTATAGAGATGGACGATTGTTGCGTCCTTGAAATCATGCCGGACTTCTCCCTGAATCCACATCTCCTGGAAGAGCGCCGTCAGATTATCCATGATTTGAGGATCACCGTGCTTGTAGGTCTCAGCAGGGATCGCGTCCGATTCGGACGTTTTACCGCTGGAGAGCTGTTGCACGGCCCTGATGGTTCCGTGGATAGAGGGTGGGAGGTTGAGGTCGACGTCGGTCTCCACTTGAGGCAGACGACGATGGCGGCGTCGGAGATGGTGGAGGGACGGTTAAGGAAGCGTCTGAAATGCTCGGTCCATCGCTGAAGAATTTGTGTCTTATCGGTGAGTAGGGTACTGCCGTCGGCGCTGAGAAGCGGAGCAGTTGCTTTGGTTGGCGGACCGTAGATGGCGATCTACATACTCTCAGATCTCCTCGACCTTACGAGCCGTACAAGTGTCTTGCGCCTCCTGCAGCCACTCTTGCACAAGGCTGCTTTGTTGTCGTCGGTTGGACGGTCGACCTAGTCATTGTGCAGTCGATTCTTCCTGGCGAGCAGATTGCTGATTACGGCGTCGTTGAAATCCAACCAGTCTTGATGTTTGCGTCGTGAGTGGCCGAGGACAGCCAGGGCCGTCGAGTGGACTGTTTCCCGCAGTTGGCACCATCGGTTCTACACGGAGGCGTTCAGCGGCAGCGACCGGAAGGTTGGCTAGCCGTTGAGCTAGCCCATTGTTCAAATGGAGATGGTGAGCAGGCAAGAACAACAAAGCAACATTCAGCTTACCTGGGCGTCGCTTACCTTGAGGTCTTCTCCGAGGCTATAGCTAATCAGCATCCCGAAGATGACCAAACGATGGTAGGTCCACCCGCCGGCGCCCGCGATCACCTTTGTCACCAGCACGTCCTGCGGGTCTCGTCTCCGGGCGAAGGCATCGTCCAGCAGGTGCCCGCCTTGCGACGGACGGTGCATCCAGGTGGCCTTCTCTCGCATCGGAAAGAGGAAGTAGGTGTTGGTCAGGATTAGATGGTGTTCTGCGTAGGTTCGTAAGAGGAGCAGCCCATTGTCATTGGATCCGTCAAGACAATGGGGACCCAGCACTTCTCTCCATGCAGCGTGTTCTGTGCCGACGCGAGCGCTGAAGTTACCAATGACAATCATCTTATCCGCCTTCGGCACAGTCGCCAAGAGGGCGTGCGGGTCCTTGTCTAATTTGTCCCTTGCCGCGGCAGGGCCGGTCACCTGGGGGAGGACGTAGACACTGATGACGGTGGTGAATTAGCCTACCCTTAGAGGTGGACGGAGGCTCACCATACGATCGTTGATGTCCTGCGGTAGACAAGGGAGTTGTCTCACAATGTCGTTCCTGACGACAAAGGCGACGCCCGCGTCCCATCGCTCTACCCTGGGGCGACCGCTCCAGAAGAAGGTGTAGCCGGGCGCAAACCTCAAAGAAGCGGGTCTCTCTGAATGCAGCGATGTTCATCTTGTAGCGCGTCAGTTCCCATGCCACTAGCGCTGTCCTCCGTCGGAGCTGTCGAGACCGTGAGGACCCAGCAGTCCTCTCCAGACACAGACGTCAGATTATCGTAGAATTTCTCCCTTGCAGCGT